GTCTGCAGGAGGAGGAGGTCGTGCGGGGGGCGTGTTTTTTTTTTGACTGCGGGGCGATTTTTAGTGCGGGGCTATTAGCGATCGATTGTGGCTTGTTGCGTGATTGGTAGCGTTAAACACAGAATGATTAAGGGCCATTAGATCTTGATGATTGATGGGTGGGATTGTTTGGATCTGCCCCTCTCTTTCTTTTATAGTGGTAGTAGATAGTAGATACATCAGCAGCCTATCAAAACCATGCATTATGATGCCTTGCCAAGAAATTCGACCATCAGAGGCTCTGAAGCACATCGCGCATGGCCGGGCGCGGCCTGCACACGGCCTCGAGCGGCACGACCTTGGGGATGGTGAGTCCGCCGCCCTCCGTCATGTCCACCTCCGCGCCGTCCACGCGCTCCCAGTCGAAGCACTGCACCAGCGTGGCCAGCACCATGCCGATGGTCCGCAGCGCCAGCGTCTCCCCGGGGCACCGCCGCCGGCCCATCCCGAACGGGATCATGAACCGCCCCTCGGCCTTCCCGTCCTCGAACCGCTCCGGGACGAACTCCAGCGGCCGCTCCCACGCCGCCGGGTCCCGGTGGATGGCGTACGCGTTCACCATCAGCATCGTGCCGCTCGGCACGTTGTAGCCGCCGACCTTGCAGTCAGCCGAGGACTGGTGCGGCAGCAGCATCGGTGCCGCCGGGTACAGCCGCAGCGTCTCGCTCACGATGCACTGCAGGTAGGCCAGCCGGGGCACGTCGTCGGCGGTCACCAGCCGGGAGGTCCCCACGGCCGCGTCGATCTCGTCCTGCGCCTTCCTCAGCGCCGCCGGGTGGTTCAGCAGCAGCGACATCGCCCACTCCGTCGTCGTCGACGTGGTCTCCGTCCCGGCCCCAAATAAATTCTGCAGAGAAAACGAGGGTTATTGGTGAGATCGTGACGTGGGTAATCCTGCAGAGAATTCACCGAGAAAATGAGCGCAGTGGGATCGTGACATGAGTATGATTGCCTCCACGAGTTTTAGCTTATCGGATTGGGCACTGATAGGCGCCGGCGCGCCGGCCCAAATTTGGGCCGGTCGCAGCGCAGCCCTTCGATCCCGTGCGTGTAAGCCGTCCGATCTGTTCGTTGCCCACCCTTTCTCTCAGCCTTCGCATCCCTCGCTAAGAAAGACATGGCGGCCGCCCCTGTCTCCTCTGGCACCCAGCATCACGTGTTGCCGCCCCTCGTCGGTTTGCCTCGCCTCCGATGCTCGCCGTCGAAGCTCGCCGCCGCCGCCGCCGCCGCTCGCCGTCGTCAATCACAAAAAAAGCCCTGTAGCAGATTTTCGTTCCCCGTCCCTGCATCCATGACGGCCCCACCATGGAGTTGGCCGCAAATCATTCCTCGCCGGTGCTGCCGATCTCGGTTGCAGCATTAATGGCGACGCGATGTCGCTCACAGCCAAAGCCAGTGGTAGCAAAAAATTAGGCTGGTTCCAACAAAACAAAAGGATGGTGGTAGCAAAAATACGTTGGTTCCAGCACAAGCCCCACATGGTTTGTAGCAAAAAAATGTGCTAGTTCCAGCAAAACGGAAAGCCGATTGTAGCAAAAAAAAATGGTTGGTTCCAGCAAAAATCCAAAGATGGTGATAACAAAAGAAGACCCGTTTGTAGCAAACAAAGTGGCTGGTTCCAGCAAATTTCAAAGACGGTGGTAGCAAAAATGAATGCTAGTTCCAGCAAAATCTGATGTAGCAAAAAATCATGGCGGCTACGGCACCACCCTTCTCTCAATTTGCAGCAAAAATGGAATAAGGTTCCAGCAAAAAAAGAAGTGGTTCCAGCAAAAAGAAATGATGCAGAAATAATAATAATAATGGCGGTCACCGCCGTCGCCGCCCCGTCACCATCCTTGCCGGTTGAAGGAAATCTACTGGCCGGTCTCGAGCACCACACCTTGTCGGCGCCGCAGGTCATGACATCCCCCTTGCCTCGCG